GGACGCGGCCAGCTGTCACTTAATTTATCTGCGGGTGGGGCCGACTGCTGCACGCCGGGGAGGGGGAAGGACGGAACGCGTCTGCGGCGGTCTGTTTGAGGACCTGTTTTCCCGAGCCGCCTAGGCCGGGCCTTGGTATTTCCTTATTTTCTGACGGGTCCGTGGTTCCCTGACAGATAAGCTTTTGTTTAGCAGGACAAAAGCTTGACATAACTGCATAAGAATTGCTGATTGCAACTTTAAAAATCTCATTGTATTTTCTGAAAAGTTGTTTTGTAACAGTACTTTTACAGACTTTTACCACGCTTTTAAATTGGCTTAAATATGGAGATAACAAAGAGTTCAGTTGTTTTCTTGTGGCTTGTAAAGTTCCTTGAAAACAGAGGTGTCTATGTCAGTTTCTTTACAGATTAAAAGAAAAAAAAACTGACAAAAATTAGTTGTGTAATAGTTTAGCACTAGCAAAACATTCTAAGAACCTAGGCCACCTAATAATAGCTTAAACTGTGTCAGTAGTTTATTCTGTTTTGTTTGAACCTGCTTCAGACTTGAATCAGAATTTTATACATTGAGGCTTTTACTTGGCTAATAACTAGCATTGTAATAATAATAATGGTAAGTATTTTGGGGGGGGCGTTCTATATGCTAAGCCGTGTTTGAGAGCTTTATACTTTGGGACGGATACTATTATTATCCCCTTTTTGACAAGGAGGAAACAGACACAGAGAAGTTGAGTAACTTGTACAAGGACACGCAGCAAATATATTTGGGACCCAAGCAGGCTGGTTTCATGCTTTTAACTATGCTTCTTTAACTGCATCCTTTATATTTTGACTCTTTTTACTTTACAAAGCTCTTTCATTTATTTCTCTCAACTGGGGATATATGTGAAGTGTGTTCGTGTATACATATACATTCACACACTATTCAGTTGAGTTCTCTCCTCTTGTTGACTTAAATTTTGTGCACTGAGCAAAAATTCCGCTGGATATTTTAAGATAAATGGAGTTCATAAAGTTCATGTTTGTGTTGTAGTTTATAGTTTTAATTCCTTTATATCATTCCTGACAGTGTAGAGAACAGTTTGAAACCTATATATTATACTTAAAATATACCATTATATATTTTTGTTCTGAAATTCTATTGAGTGGTCACTCTGTATCTGGAGTGATTATACTTATAGCTCCATGACAAGAAATAAAGGTTCAAAGCAAAATCATTTCATAAGAAATCAGCAGTTTACAGTGATTTACAGCAGAGCATTTAAATTTATCAGTTATCATGCTTTTGATTGTCTCTATGCCCAGCAGTGTTAGGTACAATTGTTTATACAAAAGAAATGTGCCAGGGCAACAAACCTTAGTTTGGGATATGAGATTAACAGCAACAATATAAAATACTGTTGTTTAGTGCAGACTGTATATGGTGAACTGAACTAGGCTGAACAGTATTGCTTCTGCAAAGAACCAGCTACTAAAGGATGGATGTAGGGCATTGAATAGAAGCGTGAATGAGGAATTTTAGTGAGGAAACAGTGTGTCAAAGACTTGGAAGTGAGAATGAAATTATTTTTCTAGGGAACAGTGGACCTGATCTATTTGGAAAGTTCCTTTTGAGAAAAAGGAGATTATGTGGGCAAGACTGAGAATCAGTATAATTGTATAAGACACACATGGGAGGGGCACCTGGGTGGCTCAGTTGGTTAAGCGACTGCCTTCGGCTCAGGTCATGATCCTGGAGTCCTGGGACGGAGTCCCGCATCGGGCTCCCTGCTCGGCAGGGAGTCTGCTTCTCCCTCTGACTCTCCCCCCTCTCATGTGCTCTCTCTCTCTCTCTCATTCTCGCTTTCAAATAAATAAATGAAATCTTTAAAAAAAAAAAAAAAAAGACACACATGGGAAAGAAGTTTAGGCTTGACATATATGTATAGACACAGATGATTTTGGAAGTTTAAAACTTTTAAATCAGTGGCTCTCAACTGGGGACAGTTTTTGTCCCTCAGGGGACATTTGGCAGTGTCATGACTAGAATTGGGAGAGGTGCTAGTAGCATCTACTGGATAGAGGCCAGGAACGCTGCTGCCAAACATCTTGCAATAAGACAGCCCCTCCATGAGAAATAATTACCCCAAATGTCGGTGGTACTGAGGGTGAGAAACCCTGTTGTGAGCTGATTGTTTATATGGCCAGCCTCTGCTTCATGTAAGTATGAATGATGAATGTTAGGAGCATGAGTACAAGTAATTTTAAAGCTAGGGGAAGCTGGCTCAGAGACCTAAAGAAGGAGGCTGCTGTTGGAGTCCTTCGGAGGAGGGGAGGCTGTAAGGAAATAGGATGAGGGTAGTGAGAATGACATGTAGTGGTAAAATGAGACAGTTATTTAAATGACATTTTTTTCTGAGTTTGAAAATAATGTCTCTTCACTGAAAATAATGCATGTTCATTGTAGGAAATTTTGGAAATGTAGAGAGTGTGAAAAAAAAAATTAAAAGCACTTAGAACCTGCCACCCCCACCCCAAGCAGAAAGAACAACTGTTAACATTTTCATGTGGTGGGTTTTTTTTTAAGATTTTACTTATTTGTCAGAGAGAGAGAGAGAAAGTGCACAAGCAGGGGGAGTGGCAGGCCAGAGGGAGAAGCAGGCTTCCCGCCAAGCAGGGAGCCCGATGCGGGACTCGATCCCAGGACCCTGGGATCATGATCTGAGCCGAAGGCAGACGCTTAACTGACTGAGCCACCCAGGCGTCCCTTTTTCAAAAATTTTTTATGCTGATGATTATTTTCCTTTCTATAAAACTAGGATTATACATTTTTCTCCCTGTGGGTTTTTATTGTTCTGCCTTTTTTTTTTTGACTCAGCATGTCATGAGTATTTCCCATTGCTTGAAAAATGCTCTTTTTAATAGTCACAGTCTTTGTTGTGTGTGTGTTCTTTTGAAATTGGGAATTTTGCTTATATTCAAAAGAGACATTTTGAAGGAAGAAATAGAATATGGTGACTGATTAACTATAGAAAATAATAGGGGCAAAAGTCTATGGTATCTTCAAGGTTTTAAACATTGGAAGCTAAAAGAATGGCAGAGCTACTGAAATAAATTGGAAGTCTCATAATAATTTTTTTGAGGGGGGTTTCTCATAATTTTCACCTTAGATATAGAAACTGCCATCACAGACACCCATAATGAGATTTTAATGAGGACCCTTGCTGCCTGTCAGTTTACATTCTTCCTAAAACTTTTTTTTCTTCGTAAAACTCTTAAAATTAATAATCTTTCTTTTCTTTTGTTTTTTTGGTACAAAGCTTATTTTTCAATTCTTAGCAAGTCTTTTCCCTCTTCTTGAAAAGTTTTTTTAAATGCAGTTTCTATTAGAATACTAAATAAGTCTCAGGTTGGTTCATGAACCTTTGAGAGATTAAAGGACGAGTTTGGGTTTTTCAAATGTATAGATTGGTACAGTTTATAAGCAAGAAATGCGTATAACTGTTTTGTGGAGGAAGAGGCATTATCCTTAGAAATGCTTGCCTAGTGCCTCATAACATCACCCCCATCAATATTACATTACTGTTTTATCAATCATTATACCCATGACCCATATCAGTTAATTTGGTGCTTTCTGGTAAATGTTTTTAGGAAAGTAATTTAAAAAAAAAACCTTGAACTTAATACAAATGGTACCTTTACTGGGAACATACACTTTCAACTTGGATAAGGTACAGTTTGACTTTGCTAGATTCAGATGCTGTGTTTACTACTACGTGCTCATGTCCAAGTATCTCCTAATATGCATTAACTTTGGAGAAGTTTTGTATTTACTGTCTTTGTTTTGGGGACATAATGAAGGTAGAGATGGGAGAAAGAGTTTTCTGAAAGGTACCCCCAGTTTGCTTCCCCTATAACCACCTCTCAAGTTTACACACTGCCTGAAATTCTTTTTGCCTTGAACAGTCATCCAGGAACGTATCACCTATGTATGAATCATGAATGCCCATTCTAGCATCTCTCCTGCTCACTAGTGTAATCTTAAAACAGGCAGCTTGGTGTTATATGGAAAAGGCACTAACACTGGAAGTCACAGTTCTAGGGTTTGCTCTCCTACTGGTGACTGAGTGTTCTTGGGCAGGTCCCTTAATCTAATTTGTAAATTGAAATTATCTCCAAGGTCCTTCCCAGTTCTAAGAGTCTGTGAATCTGTGAAGTATTTACTTTTCAAGGGTAATTATCTCTGGTGAGACTATTAGTCTTTCACATCTTAGTGTGCATTAATCAGATGATATCTGCCAAAGGCATTTGTAAAAGCTACTCCCATATAATAGGATTGGGGGAGAAATTTTAGAATGGAATTTAAGTGCCACTAGCATATAAGCTCCAGGAGGGCAGGGATCATTGTTTTGTTCACTCATGTTTTCTCAGTGCCAAGAATGGTAATTAGCGGGCGCCTGGGTGGCTCAGTTGGTTAAGCGACTGCCTTCGGCTCAGGTCATGATCCTGGAGTCCCAGGATCGAGTCCTGCATCGGGCTCCCTGCTCAGCAGGGAGTCTGCTTCTCCCTCTGACCCTCCCCCCTCTTGTGCTCTCTCTCTTTCATTCTCTCTCTCAAATAAATAAATAAAATCTTTAAAAAAAAAAAGAATGGTAATTAGCCTGTAACATGTACTTAATATTTGTTGAATGAAAGGAATGGATTGTTGTTGAGGAAAAAACAAGCTTGTTGGAGT